CAATTCTGAATTACCTCTGGCGTTATTTACAGATGCTTCAGATACGGCGATTGGCTCAGTGTTGCAACAATATGAAAACTCCTCGTGGAAGCCAATAGCATTTTTTTCTAAAAAATTAAGTGATACTCAGCAAAAATATAGCACCTATGATAGAGAACTATTAAGCATATATCTTTCAGTTAGACACTTTAAGCATTATCTAGAAGGAAGAGTATTTACAATTTATACAGATCACAAGCCCTTAATATTCGCCTTTCGTCAAAAACTTGACAAAGCAGCACCTAGACAGGCTCGCCAACTTCAATACATCTCCCAGTTTTCGACTGATATCAAATATGTAAAAGGTGAGAATAATATTGTGGCGGATACATTATCTAGAGTTAATGAAATTTCATCGATAGATTATGATAAAATAGCTGATGAACAAACTCAAGATGAAGAACTGAAGAGTTTGCAAACCACTACTTCCTTGAATTTCAAGCAATGTTCTCTACCTTCGGGGAAATATTTGTGGTGTGATGATACATCAACTAAACATGTTCGGCCGTATATTCCTCAGGCTTTCAGAAACACGTCTTTCAACGAATTCATGGTTTATCACATCCAGGAATAAAATCGACTATGAAATTAATGACATCAAAATTCATTTGGCCTAACATAAAAAAAGATGTACAGTTGTGGACAAGAACCTGCATTCCTTGCCAAAAAGCTAAAATCAGTCGGCACACCAAAACAAAATTAGGTGAGTTTGAAGTACCACCAGGAAGATTTTCTGTCATCCATATCGATCTCATAGGACCACTTCCACCATCTAAAGGGAATATTTATTGTCTTACTTGCATAGATAGATTTTCGAATTGGATGGAAGCAATTCCTTTAGAAAATATTTCCGCTGAGAACGTCGCAAGAGCCTTTTATAGCAACTGGATTGCGCGTTTCGGAACGCCAAGTAAACTCATTAGTGATCGTGGATCCCAATTTAAAAGTGATACATTACGAGCTTTGTCCAAAATCTGTGGCATCAATTTACAACACACTACTGCCTACCACCCCTCGTGTAATGGCAAAGTTGAGCGCCTTCATCGAACATTAAAACAGCATTAAAAGCCCACAACAACATATCTTGGACGGACACGTTACCAACAGTACTTTTGGGTTTTGCGTACTGCTGTTCAAGAAGATACCAATCATTCTATTGCGCAAGTAGTTTATGGCCAGAGTCTCAGACTTCCTGGAGAGTTTTTCAGCGAACCGAGTATCCAGACAGCATCGGTGACTTTTGCTACTAAACTCCAGAAACAGATGGAAGTTGTTGGACCGAGACTAATTCGTAAAAATTCATCTGAACAGATATTTGTCCATAAAGACTTAAAAACTTGTTCTCATGTGTTTCAGCGAATAGATCGGGTAAAAAAACCTTTGGAACCTCCTTATGAAGGACCATTTCCTGTTATTGATCGCAAGGACAAATATTTTACTATTAGCATAAAAGGAAAACATGTTAATGTATCCCTGGATCGCTTGAAACCAGCATATATTTTAGCTGAGGAAAATTCTCAGTTGATACAACCTGACTACACTAATTTGCAGAGACCGGACTCAAATTCGGATGTGAATCAAAAACATTCTCGCACAGGCAGAACTATACGTTTACCTGTTAGATTCAAGGACTGACTAAATTATTTTGATAGTGGTTAACACTGCAATACTAGTTACTACCTATTTCTCCATCTTCGTAACGTAACTTAGTTACTGGTGGGGGAGTAGTGTAGTGGCCCAGTTATTGCATGAGAAATAATTATTTTTTATTTCATATATTTGTTCATGTGTTTAATTATTTTATAAAATTAACTTTAATATTTTGTTAATATTCATATTTATATTTAAATTTCTTTATGCTGAATGGCAACTAGTTCTAGTTCTGATTCATGATTGCTAGGTTTTGGTTTCAAAACGTTGCTCGTAGCGTCACATTTTGATAGCTGGAAAATAAAATGCAATAACTTAGCTATTTGTTTATAATTCATGCTGTTACTAGTCATAAATTAATTTTAAACATTAGTAGCCAAGGCTACAATGCCCATATCAGAATCAATAGAAATATCACTTTAGGAAATGAATCGTCACTAATTCGCTCATTTACTATGCAAGTATATCCTTCCTCTGATAAATCATGCTTTTGCACCATAATAAACTGGAGTCAATGCTTTCCAAAATAAAAAAAGGAAGAACCCAAAATATATCCCAAAGCAACAGAATGCATAGTAATCCTAAAAGAATCTACAAAGTAGTGAAAAAAAGGATTCGGAGGGATATCACATGGTTATATCTCATTGTAAGCTTAAGAGCCAAGCCTTGTTTATTTACGTTATGCATTTTCCTCTTCCCCTGAGTAAGTCAAGTTTCTCTCATTTTGAGTAGAAGGTCAAATCTACAGGTATCTCAAATCCTACGGATATCCAATGCCACCTTGTGGCAAAAGTTAACAGTTTTTAAAATGTTCCACAACTCTGGCACAAATATGTGACAGCCAGGAGTGAATGAGAAAATGCTCTGGCGTGGCAGCATGCTGCCCTAAAAATGAGTGTGGTTCTTCCTGGCACATACACTCACGTTTGTGAAAATTGCAACACCATGAAGGACTTACGCGAGTGAGCTGAAATTTTCAGGAAATGCAAAGTAGCACATGATATGCAAATGATTAGAATTGCAAATCCGTAGCGCATGCGTATGCTGAGCAGCGCCCTCTGAACGGCTGATGGATCCGAATAAATAGACGGCTGTAGCGAGGTGTGTATGGTTATCGGTGATATCATTTGATACAACCTGACTACACTAATTTGCAGAGACCGGACTCAAATTCGGATGTGAATCAAAAACATTCTCGCACAGGCAGAACTATACGTTTACCTGTTAGATTCAAGGACTGACTAAATTATTTTGATAGTGGTTAACACTGCAATACTAGTTACTACCTATTTCTCCATCTTCGTAACGTAACTTAGTTACTGGTGGGGGAGTAGTGTAGTGGCCCAGTTATTGCATGAGAAATTATTTTTTATTTCATATATTTGTTCATGTGTTTAATTATTTTATAAAATTAACTTTAATATTTTGTTAATATTCATATTTATATTTAAATTTAGTGGTAAACGTTAACTCAATCTGTACTTATGCCTCGTCGACAAAAGAGAGCGAGATTTGAACAACTTACAGAGTTTGAACGAGGGAGAATCATCGGCCTTCGTGAAGCTGGATTGTCGTATCGTGCAATAGCCTCTCGTGTGCAGCGTAACAGCAGCACAGTGATGCGCGTTTGGAAGCAGTGGACAGACGAGTGTCGGACAACTCGGAAATCCGGGAGTGGACCCCGAAATGTGACGTCAGCTCGCGATGATAGACACCTGGTCCGCATGGCGCGGACGGACCGTACAGCTTCCTCTAGACAATTGGCAGCACTGTGGTCAATAGCTACAGGTGTTTCATTGTGTGCTTCATCAATTCGTAGACGTCTGCTGCAGTGTGGACTGCGTGCACGGACTCCTTTATACAGGATCCCCCTAACGCACGACCATCGCCGCCTGCGGCTACAATGGGCCAATCAGCATAGAGACTGGCGTGCTGATTGGCAGCATGTCGTGGTTTCTGACGAATCCCGCTTTAATTTGTGGTACCATGATGGCCGCATTCGTGTCAGACGCTATGCCGGTGAACGCCACCTTCCGGAGTGCATTATCGAACGCCACAGTGGACGAACACCCGGAGTTATGGTCTGGGGCGCCATAGCATATCATAGATGATCTCAATTGCTATGAATTGTGGGCAATCTGAACAGCAACCAGTATATCCGTGAAGTTCTACAGCCCGAAGCTGTTCCCTTCCTTCAAAGCTTGCCAGGCGCTGTATTTCAACAGGACAATGCCCGCCCTCATACTGCTCGGATTGTTAAATCCTTCTTTGCAGCGCAACAGGTACAGCTTCTTCCTTGGCCTGTGTGTTCCCCGGATATGTCGCCAATTGAACATGTGTGGGATGTCATTGGTCGGCGTCTTGCTCGTGATCCTCGTCCTGTTGCGTCTGCAGACGAACTTTGGGTACGCGTACAAACGATATGGAATGCTCTTCCTCAGTCAGACATTCAAACTTTGTTTGACTCCATGCCACGTCGTGTAGCAGCACTTATTGCGGCGCGTGGTGGCCACACAAAATACTGATTCTGATCTCTTGTTCTTGTTTGTTTGCTTTGAACATTTAATCATTTATTTGTACCACTACCACTCAACTGTGTATTAAATTGCATTGAATTATGACGATTCCTTCTTGGTGTTGCAATTTTCACAAACGTGAGTGTATGTGCGACAGTTGGTGCGAAAAGATTTATAACTATAAGGAAAGTGACATCTTATTTCATTTACTAAAGCTCCAGCCGCCAATAGCAAAAGACTTCTGAATAATGGTTAATTCTCATTAAATGCTTTTTTCCCCCTTATTCGTAATATGAATGTGAGAAATTTTTTCTTAGAAAGTCTTCTACACAGGCATTCTTTAGGTAGATAGTCCACCTAGGCTTTGCATAACAAACCAAGCTATTGCTAAGCAGACCGTTAAGTAAATAAATAGATAACTTTGAAATGAAAATTTTGATACCATGATAGAGAACTATGCCATATAATTCAGATTTACAGCTTCAGTATATGCATGGTGTTAGCAAGGCTAAGAAATAATTTTGATGCTACCAGAATCAATTCCTGCAATTTTATAAAATCTTCGCTTTTATAATTTTTTAATGAATTATCAAACTTACAAATGAGAGATGTCAGAATCATAGCAAAAGACTTAACACTCAGCAATTTGCACACATTTCCCCCTCCCAATGTGTCTGATTTTCATCTTTTTAAATAAAACATTTTTGTATTATTTAGGGTTAAAAAATAAACAGGGGACCACAGATAACAACATTTCATATTTTTACATATTTAGTAATTCACAATAATACTTACTCTTTTTCTCCTAGTCATTCTCTTCTGTGCAGTTTCATTCAGAAACTTCGGAAATTTAGGTATTTCATTTTTTTGGATCAAATCATTTAGAATTTGATAATATCTATCCTCGTCATCAATATTATATCCAATTAAACATTCGCACATCTTAGACATATCTCCTTTGAACTTCATATAGCAGCTTTTCAAATCTTCTTTCTCTTCTTCAGAATCTGTGATTATTTATCAAACACATTAAGTATAATACAGGTGCAACAGAAAATGTTTTAATGATCATTGTAACAAGTTCTGAAAACATTTAAGACTTCAAAACGTCAATAAATATAATAGTATTAATTGGTATATATCACACTATTAAATTTTAACGATACAAACAAGTTGCCCTTTTCAAAGCGTTAAATTTGGAAATTTTCACAGGACTAGTTTCGATGATTTTACAGAACAATCATCCTCAGCTGCCAAAGTGCAACCTTTAAAAGGAAATTATGTTTTAGTTCTTGTTTCATCAATAGATGACACTAGTAGCTTAACTCTTGTCCAGCTGTTCTTATCTTATCTCGTCCGTTTGTACTTTGGCAGCTGAGGATGATGGTTCAGTAAAACCATCGAAACTAGTCCTGTGAAAATTTGTGAATATAATGCTGATTTTTGTTGTTTGAATTCTAAATTTACACTATTTGGTTTAGAAAAGAATTAATTAATTAAAACTCTACTATAAGCATTAGCCTCAGAACAAGAGTCTTAATTAAAAAATCTGATGTGTACACCACGACTTCCTTGTACGGAATATTAAATTATACACATTTTTTCTTGCATTTTATTTAAACTTATTAGATTGAATTAAACCTACTTCGCCGACAGCACATAAACCACAAAAGAATAAATGCATTCTTTAAAATTCACTTTGTTTACCATAGCGACACTCTGGCGCTAGGTTTACTTAACAGAATTACATTTCGTTCATATTATAACTCAGAATGCACAAAATGTATATCATTTAAAGAATTATCTAATCGTTGCCACATGTTCTATTCAAATACTATAACAAAGCTAGAACGATGTATAAAAGAAATTAAGCAAACAAAACGAAAAAGAAACAGTTTTTCACAGACGATTGAGTATTTCTCATTCAATTAATTCAGTTTTCACTTCTCGACAAGGCAAAAATACATAAAAACTCAAAATATCTGTATTAAAAATTACGAACCATAAATCTTAAATGCTTATTTCCTAAAAAAAATTCCAGAAAGGATTAAGCATGATTTAATTCGCAATAATAAATGAAGGCGTTATTTTTGTGTTGCGAAGCTTAGTCTCTCTAGATTGGCAACAAATCTACAATTTTGCTGTTTCAAATGTAAACAAATATGTCCGCCATGTTATTTAAAACTTAACCGCCCTTAAACAGCTTTTAAATTGTTGACAATTGTACAAATATTGCTTCCAGAATTATGAAAGGCATAAAAGCTTTAACCAGAAGATTAAAAACAACATAATTCAATCATTTTTAAAGCAAAAAAATGTACAATTTACAAACATATAAGAGTAAAGAAACTGAGATCACTGAGCCGGGTAACAGAGTGGATATATTTATAAATATATTTATATACGTTTGGCGCGGCCGATTGAAACCAAAATACGAGGTGCACATCTACATGTTATAATATTCTTATATACAAAATTTCAATGTTCTGAAGCTACTCGTTTTTGAGTTATGCGAGATACGTACATACGTTTGTACAGACGTCACGAAAAATTCTCTTCAGAATTCATTTTAAAGCAGTTTTTTAGTTTTTTTGGAGGAAAAGAGTCTTTTATTCTGTCCTTACGTATAGATATCACGCAAAAACACCGTTAAATTGCATTCGAAAGCGGTCAAAGTGGATATTTTCGTTGAAATATGCTGCCTGAAGCTTTTCGCGGTTACAATACTTCCTTTTTACTTCATACAAAGAAGTAAAAAATGTTACTAATAATTAATTCACATTACACCATCAAATGAGCCTTAAGAAACCTAATTCACTTCTTGAAAATTTGAAGGTGATACATCACAAATGGTGCAAAATAAAATTTTATATATTCCTACATGAAATGGCATTGATATGAAAAGCAATTACTTAAGTTTATTTCATCCTTATAAGTAATGGGTCACGTGGAAAGTTCTGCAGTTTTTTTATTATAAATGCAAATGAAGAAGTAAAAAAACATGAAAATTTCACTGAATCATGTGAAGTGTCTGGTATGCAAATGTAAGAAAATAACACTTCTCTGACTCCAATGGAACCAATATTTTATTCCTTACAAAGTTATAGATTCTTATTCATAAGATTTATTTACATTTTACATGCACACAGAATCGCGTGACAGAGACCCGAAGTTTGTTCACTTCGTTCTTCGCGGAGAATAGAAGGTGTTGACATTCCGCTTTAACTAAATTTAATTAGAAACTTGACGGAATGAAGCGACACTACACATCCCCTTCCTAGTGACAGCGATTATGGAAGATAATCTTTAAAGTGACTGGGGAACTTCACATGTCTGCCGGTTCTAGTAGTCTTGGTTTCATGATGAGTTTCTGAATTTTCTTCAGTGTTCTTGAGTGCAGGTGTTTCCCCAAGTTCCGCTTTCTTGGAATGGGAGTTTTGGAAAGGAATATCAGAATCTTGCACTAGGAAACATGGCTTTAGCCTGTCTATTGAAACTCTTTTAACTTTTCCTTGGATTTCAATATCGAAGTACTTATCCTTTCTTGCTCTTACAGGATACGGTCCAAGATAGACAGGCTGTAGCGACGAATTATTAATGTTGTTGTATAGGAATACGTGAGAACAGTTGGAAAGATGTTTAGAAACAAAGACTGTTCTATTTCCATGGGTGGTGGTAGAACTTGGCTTCATAGCTCTTATTATTTTCTGAAGGTTTTGAGAAAATTCAGACTGTTTCATACGAGGTACTGTTGAAAAGAATTCACCAGGTAATGCTAAAGGGGTTCCGTATACAAGTTCTGCGGATGAGCAGCCTAAGTCTTCCTTGATGGCAGATCTTATGCCTAAAAGAACAAAATGCAATGCTTCCAGCCATAATTTTGATTCGAGTAGATGACATTTGAGACTTGCTTTTAAAGTTCGGTATTGTCTTTCGATCAGGCCATTGGCCTGTGGATGGTACGCAGTTGTAGTGTTTGTATGAAAACCAAGATATTTTCCTAAAGCTTGAAAAAGTTGGCTATCAAATTGCCGACCCTGGTCAGATGTTATGCGATTCGGAATTTCAAAGTGTGAAAACCAAGCAAAAAACTAAGCTTTAGCAATAGATTCTGCTGATTGATCTTCTAACGGTACCGCTTCGATCCATCGTGTATAACGATTGATGATAGTTAGAAGATATTTGAATCCTTTGCAAGGAGGTAGCGGACCCACCAGATCTATGTTTAAATGCTGGAATCTGTGTGGAGGTACTTTGAATTCTCCCAAAGATGACTGTGTTTGTCTGTGAACTTTAGATCTTTGGCAAGATAAACATGCTCTAGTCCATAGTTGGCAGTCTTTATTCATATTGGGCCATATGAAACGTCGTGTTATCAATTTTATCGTGGATCTTATTCCAGGATGAGATAAATTATGGATTGAAGAAAATATTTTCTGCTGAAACTTTGCAGGGATGTATGGTCGATTATAATTTGTAGAAGTATCACAGTAAATTTTCTTGTCGCTGTCCGGTATAGGGATCTGTAGGATTTTTAAGTTTGGGTTGTTTTTTAGTATCTCCAAGTCATCATCTTCTTGACAGTCTACTATAGTTTGTAAGTCTATTGCAGATGGTACAGAAATGGTGTCTATGCGAGAGAGAGCGTCAGCGCCGGTATTTTCATGCTCTTGTATGAATCGGATATCGGTTGAGAACTGGCCAATATATGACAGTTGTCTAGCTTGTTGTGGCGAAGCTTTTTCCAAATTTTGTTGGAAGGCAAATGATAGTGGTTTGTGATCCTTGTATATTGCAAAAGTTCGCCCTTCTAAGATGTATTTGAAATGTTTTACTGCTGTATAGATGGCTAAGAGTTCTCTGTCGTAGGCACTATATTTTTGTTGTGCTGATGTCAAATTTCGGGAAAAGAAACTTAAGGGTTGTTTTTCATTATTCACAATCTGATATAAAACGGCTCCAATGGCAGTATCGGAAGCATCAGTTGTTAGCGATATTTCAGCCTTTTCGGATGGGTGAGTTAAGTTTGTGGCATGAATAAGTGCATCTTTTAAGATCTGGAAGACGTTTCTTGTTTCTGCCGTTGTTGTGAGTTAAGTTTGTGGCATGAATAAGTGCATCTTTTAAGATCTGGAAGGCGTTTCGTTTCTTGTTTCTGCCGTCCAGATTATTTCTTTTCTGCAGTTTTTTTTTAATACCACTGAGCAATGTTGTTAAAGGTTGTTTCAGTTTCGCACAATTTGGTATGAATCTGTGATAAAAATTCACCATACCTAAAAATCGTCTTAAACTAGTAAATGACTTTGGTTCTGGGAAATTTTTGATGGCATCAACTTTCGTTGAAAGAGGTTTAAGTCCTTCAGCTGACACTTCGTATCCCAGGAATGCAAGTTTTGTTTGACGAAATTTACACTTTGCCGCATTAATACACAGGCCATATTCGTTTAGTCTCTCAAGGACTGCTCGTAGATGTTTTCGGTGAGTTTCTTCATCTGGAGAGGCTATTAGAATTTCATCCAAATAGCAAAACACAAATTCTAGTTCATTCAACACACTGTTCATGAAACGTTGGAACGTTTGGGCCGCATTTCGTAGGCCGAACGTCATGAATGGGAACTCGAATAAGCCAAAGGGAGTGAGAATGGCCATTTTCGGTATATCTTTTCCGCGAACTGGAATTTGTTGGTACGCTCTAATGAGGTCTATGGATGAGAAAACTTTTTTTTCCAGCTAAAATGAAACTGCAATCTGTTAAAAATGGGAGAGGTTATCTACCAGGAATCGTGACGTTGTTTAACGCTCGACAGTCTCACAAGTCTCCAATCACCTGATTTCTTCATAGCGAGATGTAGTGGGCTCAACCAGTTACTTTTGGATGGCCTGCATAAACCCATTTGGAGCATAAATTCAAACTCCTTTTTAGCCGCTTTAAGTTTCTCAGCTGATAGTCTCCTGGCTTTAGCGAAAACTAATGGACCTCTGGTTTCGATATAATGTTCGATGTTATGATTTTTAACTTTATTATTAACTACATTCAGTTTTAACAAATCCGGAAAATTGTTAATGATACGTTTATATGGAACATTTACGGCATTTAAAATCGGAATATTATTATTGTTATTTTGAAAACAAGGAGTTCCATTGGTTGTTAAGAATGTAGTACCATCAATCAACTTGTGATTTTTAGAATCTACCAAAATGTTAAAATTTGCAAGAAAATCCATGCCTATTATCGGTTTGTTTACCTCCGCAATTACAAAAGGCCTTGGAATGATCGTCTGAGTCCAAGATCAAGCTTGAGTAATTTTTGGCCATATGTTTTAATTTTCGTACCATTTGCAAAGAGTTCTAATTTTGAGATTTTTTTTTATCTGCAGGCAAGGGAGGAATGACAGAAATTTCTGCCCCAGTATCTATTAAAAATTGGGTAGCCGATTCTTTGTCATCTCCATCGTCAATGAGAGACGGGGAGCTGGTTTTCTGGACCATTTGTCTGTGATGTTGATGAGTAGTTACAGGGTTGTTTACACTTAAATGACTTATCACCAAATTTTTTGTGATAGTAACAAATATCACTAGATCTGTTACCACTCTAACTCCTATCTCGTGATTTGGATCGGTTACGACAATAGGGACGACTGTGGCGTTGCTTGTTTAAAGCAGAAACTTGTAAGCTAAGTTCACTAACCTGTTTTTGTAAACTTTCAATCACTTCCGTTTTTACCGTTATGGATGATGCAGCAGCTATTTGGGGAGTAACAGGGTTTAATTCCCAAATCTTATCGGCCATTGTAGCCACTTTTGACAAATCTTCACTACTAACAGATATAATGCTACGCATATTAACGAGTAACCTTGTAGCCACAATGTTTTTAGGAAAGTATCTGTTACTTTATCGCCCGCCAAATTACGCATCTCACATAGCAATTGAGATGGCTTTTTGTCCCCAGGTTCTAATTCACCCAGTAATTTTTGGGTTTTTTGAGTCTCTGAATCAGCATATAATGAAATTAGTCTATTTTTAATTGCCTCATATTTATTATCTTGTGGTGGACTTAGCAAAATATCAGATACCTGTGACAAAATATCGGGTTCAATGGAACTATAACATAATCATATTTTGTTTGATCTGCACTAATTTTTGCATTTCTAAATTGTGCTTCTAGTTGAATAAACCATATTTTAGGATCTGGCTTCCAAAAGGAGGAACTTTAACGCTTACCTTGGCAACAGATGCAGTTGTTGCTTTAATTTCGGTTTCGTCTTTGTCAGCCATTGTAGAATTCGATCACGCCGGGATACACCAGTGAAGTGTCTGGTATGCAAATGTAAGAAAATAACACTTCTCTGACTCCAATGGAACCAATATTTTATTCCTTACAAAGTTATAGATTCTTATTCATAAGATTTATTTACATTTTACATGCACATAGAATCGCGTGACAGAGACCCGAAGTTTGTTTATTTCGTTCTTCGTGGAGACTAGAAGGTGTTGCCATTCCGCTTTAACTAAATTTAATTAGAAACTTGACGGAACTAAAGCGACACTACATCATGTAAGCACCATTTTATTCAATTAATTTTTCTCACCTCTCCAGCAGGAAAATTATTTTTATCAATAAAGAAGTGATCTTTTTAAAAAAAATCATTACGTTTCTCCATAAAGAAATGCCATTTAACAGTCTCTAAAGAAATTAACTTCAGGCCGTTCAGAGAATTTTAAAGAAATAAAAATATGAGGAAACAAGGTCTGATGAATATGGGAGGGGAGACGAAACATCCCATCCATACTCAAAAGCCTTTGCCTGATATTCATTGAAATGTAGAGCCAAGCGTAGTTATGATAAAAAAAAAATCTTGACAATTGGTCAGGTCACTTTGCTCTAATTCCTGCATTTAAGACTGCCATTTGGGAACAGTATTATTCTGATTTATTGTCTAATTTTGCAGCAACAATTCATAGTATGAAATTTCTTTGCAATCCCACTACACAACAAAGCATTACTTTTTTTGCAATATAGTCTCCCCATAAAGGGGTTCGTTTGGATTATCCCATGATTTTTATCTTGTAACACTGGTTGTATAGTATCCATGTCTCCAGAAATAAATCATTTCTAAAAAGCTTTTTTCTCCCAGTAAAGAATAGCATTCAAAGCTCAAGCAAGCATATTCTATTAACTTATGGGGTACTCGTACATTATAGAGGCTTACATAACCAATCTTCTTGAAATTATCACATACTGTAATTTTGAAAATATTTAGTCTGTCTGACAGTCCCTAAGCTGTACAATGTGGATTTTATTTTCAGTGACAGCTTCTTTTAATAGGTTCTTGTTTACAGAGGATGGTCATCCAGAGTATACATCTTCTTCAAGACTGAAATTTCCAAGCTTAAACTTCTCAAACCATCTTCCAACTGTGTCATCTGAAACAGTTTTCATATACAGCACAAATTTTATGAGTAGTCAGCTTCATATTTTTTTCTTTTCAAAATAAACAAGAATAATATGATGAAAATGATCTTTGTTTTTAGTACTAAACTAGAACAAAAAGTACTTAATAACATAACTAGTATTATGAATATTTGCATATTATTGCAGCCACCTTAGTAAAAATTGCCACAGTTTTAAAATTAGTCAAATTCTGGCATATGCATTCTTTTTGTTGCATTAGAAAGGCAAATCATAATCCTTAGTAGACATATCCTGATATTTTTTCTTTTTATTTAATTTTAAAATATGAGCTCGTGGGATTTGCCTGCACTGGAAAGAACTGCATTAAAACTGCAGAATTATAGTATTTTACCACAAAATCGCTAAAGAAAACAAATGCTTTGAACCTATTCTTAAAGTCATCACCACAAAATTTCCATGAATACAAAGGGAAAAAGTGCATGCTTGTAAATTGGTTTAGTGATTCTTTTATCTTAGACAAATACCTAGATAAAAAGGTAAAAAACTATTGTAATAATATGCAGCAAATAATTTTTTACAATTATAAGTCATCATTCTTCTGTAAAATTCATCAAGATGATTGTGCTAATACAAGTACTGAATTATGTAAGGTTAATCAGAATGGACCATATTTATACATCTGCTTTGATCAAGATCACTCCTTATTAGCAGTAACAAAATAATAAGAAGTGGTATTTCAATCTGAAAAACCCCGGAAACTAGCAGATGACCTAAAATAAAAAAATTATTAAAAATAAAGATTTATGAAAAATTACGATTTATAGTATTTTTCATGTTTTTTGTCAATTTGGCCTTTTTGAATATAGTCTTTTAATAACACTCATTGCTTTATATTTTATTTTATATCCCTCCTGTATGATTCAGACCATTTTTCTGGAAGTAAATAATTCATTTCATGATGAGTTGAATATAAAACCCCAATACATTAATTTTATTAAAAACCCAAATATTGGATTTTAAAATATATAACAGTTTTTGTGTCAGTTTTGTTTCATTTTAAATAAAAATTAATTTGAAACATAAACTTATTTCTTTTTCAATAAACATAAGTATAAAATTACTGTCTTAACTTCATTTTATCAAAATATCTTAAATATTTAAGAATCATTCATTACCTTTGTAAGTCTTCAAAAAATTATCAATTTGTTCTTCTGTTATTTTTGGAAATAATAACCTCCAGTAGCTCTGCCAATCTTTATCAGGTTCAAAAGCATTTTCATCATCAATACAACCTATGAAAATTCAAATTTTTGAGCTAAATATGATTTATTTCTATAAATACCAAAAATATATAAAAACGTTTACTAAAAATAAATGCAGGACACATCCTTAAAAACAATCTCATGTTTATTTTAATTTCCTACAATATTTACCTTAAAAAAATACTTAATTTCACATTTATTTTAATTATGAAGGATATTAAAAAGTATAAGGTGTGACACACACACACACACAAAAAAAAAAAAAAAAAAAAAAAAAGGCTGGTCCAATAAATCACAGTAAAGTCATTAATTCGGACACCCATAATCCGGACCTCAAAGCTACAAACTTTCTGTGCATGCGTGGCGTTGATGCATACGCGTACGACCTTTACGGCTGCGAATATGCATGTGTGTATGCGCAAAATACTTTTACGAATGCACATTTGATGTATAACGGACGGTATAAGCTAAGCTAAAATTATCTAATTCAGTTAATGTTGCAGATTGCGTTGTACCTTAATCTTCGAATTGGATTCGGCTTATTATTTTTTGCAGACTGTTAGAGCAATTTTATAAAAGTAAGCTTGAACTTTCGATTATGTCAAATAGAATTTCTGATATATATTTACTAATATGTAAATGATCTACAAAGCAAAAGTATGTTTCGAAGTCCATTAAACAAAAAGTGGAATTGCTGCAAAAAATGGATAAAGGCATATCCTTTGTTTATCTAAACATTAATGTTTGTTTATCTAAACTTTGTTTATCTTTAACACCACAGGGCGCAATGAATTGGAGGTTGACCTGTCAGCACTATCCTTATCTTCAGGGCAGATGTTTTTATTTTATTTGGCTTATAATTCCTTACTAAATGCAGTATTTCATCTCGATGTACTCTGTCTTTGATATGATTTAAATCAAATTCCTCGACATTATAATTCGCTTCTGATAGCGAAGAAAGTAACAGAGGTTATTGAAAACGAAAAAATTTTGATTGACAAGTTAGTCGGTATTCTCGACACAGCAATTACAGGACTTGAACAGCGAAACTTTGTAACCGAACATGAAATTATGTCTGTTTATAGAATTAAAGAGAATGCATTATCACATAAAGAACGAAGCAACTTAAACAACTTACATTGAAAGAAATGTTTAATAAAGTAAACAAATAAATATAAAGCTTTTTTTTTTTTTTTTTTTTTTTTTTTTGTAAATTTTGACATCCTTTAGATCATAATTGTTCTTTATTTCATAAATTATGATTTCATATTTTTAATTTTATAATTCCTGCATGCCATCTTACCAAATTTAAACTCATGATCTATAATCCGGAAAAATCCAGAATCGCCAAAGTCCCGACGAGTCCGGATTAACGACTTTTGACGGTACTTACAGAATCAGTTCTCCGTGACATTATCACCTTCAAAGTAGTTCCCTTCAGCATTCAAACACTTCTGCATTCGGTAATGCCATTGCTGGCAACAGTTCTGGAACAAGGTTTTTGGAAGGCCTTTCAGGAGATTTTCTGTTTCTGCCTGGACCTCTTCAGCTGAGCTAAAATGGGTTCCTTTTAAGCAAGTTTTAACTTTAAGAAATTAAAAAAAAGTCGCATAAAGCCAAATCAGGTGAATAAGGGGGAAGCCCCATCACAGTAATGTTTTTGATGGCCAGAAACTGCTTGACAGATAGGGCCGTGTGAGCGGGTGCATAGTTCTGGTGCAACAGCTATCCATCGCTCCACAACTATGAGTTTTTTTTTTTTCCTAATTTTTTCACGAAGTCTTTTTAGTACTTCAATGTAGTAGTTTTGATTAACAGTCTGACCACTGGAAACCCATTCAGTCATGATGAACGTGCTGGGTGCCAGCACGTTCATCATCTTCCACACTGTCCCTTATCCTGAAAAGCACTTCAAACTGAAAACTGTTCAAACACACATGCATGAGGCAAAGTTTAACCTCCATAAGCCTCGGTTAACATTTGAAATGTTTCCTCTGTGGCTGATTTCCTAAGTTTCCCATGAAACTTGATGTTGATTCATTGTTCGGATTTTACATAAGGCATTTTCCGGGCAGAATACAGTTGCACGTGTTCACTCAATGACGGTGTATTCCCCACTGGCTTGGTCGGTTAAGTCAAAACTGGCTGCATGTATAGAGGAGATGTGTGCCATGATGTCACCAAACAGTTTTTGACAACTCCACTCTGTTTTTAAGCTACACACTTAGTCTTTTTTTTTCCTGTGTCCCACCTTGCATATATGTTTAGAAAATAAATTATTATTAACTAACTTTGCAGCAATTGCGCAATTAGTAGTAACTTGTTTTCACACTAAATGAATTTAAGATCATACAACATTATATATATATACATGTGTGCGTGTGTGTGTAAGAAATATAAAGAATATGTAAAAGATTAAATTAGCAACGTAAATTTCCCTTCTCAATTCTAAAAATAGTAAACTCTTTCTGCACTGCGTCATTTCTAGATTAATCCATGTCATATGATACTTATGTAATTCTGATGATGTAAATGGAACTAAAACTCAGACAGCCAATAATAATTTTACAGCAATATTAACTATCCAATCAAGATGCATTGATAACCAAAACTAACTCAGTCTGAATTAAGATTTCAATCCGAACATAATGCACTTGCTTCCTACACTTTGGCCTGGCTGGACTGCAGTCTGTCTGTTCCTCCTTTATTACTGCAAAATTATCTAAAATGTAAGCTTTTTGGAATAGGCACGATTAATGTGCCAACTTGATTGTGGCTGCACATGTGTGCTGAAATAAAAAATGAATATTTAATCTGCCTTCACCTCCAATTTCCTATTCATTATGGATGAACACATCTACGCCATCAAAATTCTGCTCGCCATTACTTCTAAGTTTGTTTTTGTCTCATATATATATGCAAGATAATCTGAAATAATGTTTGTTGCATTTAAATGAGAAAAACGAATATATACACTCATGATTATTAGGGGGAAATATACATACATGCATATGGAAGAAAAAAAAACAGAAAATTATAATTTACAAAAGTGAAGAAATGTTTATTTTCATACAATACACTAAGAGCTAAAAGTCTTATGTTGCACTCATCGTTACAAACTTTAAAAAATTTTACTCCAGCAAGATATATCAATACTTAATAATAAATTTATTTACCTGTCTCATCATAAGTAACTCGCTTCTCAGGATCTGATAAAATACTGTAAATTTTGGACACAGTTTGAAATTTCCTTGTAGCAGTCTCCTTTTCACTATCATCTGCTTTATCGGGATGCAGGAGCAAGGATGCTTTTCTGTATGCTTTCTTCACTAAGATAAGGAACATAAATACATGAATATGAACTATAAACAAGCTATAACAAGCAATAAATGTGAAGACGACAAAAATAGAAAAAGCACTTTTTAATAACATTTTGTGCCTAAAAATAATTAATGGAAAATATGTTTATTGTTTACATCATATATATATATGTGTTTGCACATTTTTTAAATTATTTTAAATTTGCTTTTTTACGTATTTACATCATATATATATATATTAAGTAAAAGTTAGTATAAGTTAGTATTTTTCATTATCTGTTAAAAAAAAAAAAAAAAAAAAAAAAAAAAAAAAAAAAAAAAAACCAATTAGTTTTTTATATTAATGATTAAAAAATAACACTAATAATCAATTTTTACAGAAGTGGCATCACCTGAGGATTATGTGTATATGGGCATAAACAAGAACAATGAAATACACACATATATTATTACTATAGTACTGCCAAAATGTATGGAAAGAACATAATGGAAAGTACCCCAAATATTTATGACAATATACATAAACAATAATAATAATTATGCAAAGAAAAAATTTAATTTATACTTATTTTCTGATTGAAATCTAAAGGTTTGTATCTGCAAGAAATTTCTGTTGGCTTTGTAATTCCAAATGTATCAACATCTAAAGATTAAATTTTCAGACTGACATTTAATTCAAATAATTTTAACACATTGAATTAATCACTAAATATTTAAACTAAAAATATATAACAAAACTTTCCAAGGGAATAAAAGTTGAAACTATAAAAAAGGGCAAACTATTTTCTTTTATTTATTAAAATTTTCTTTCATATATGTGGGATATAGTCAGCGAATAGCCAGCAAGGTTTAATATCATCTGATGCCAACGCAGCTCGCAGAACAGTGGAGTTGTGGAGACGACACTCAGACTTGGTCAGGAACAGACGGGTTCCTTCGAGGCTTTGGTTCTGGGTCCAAGCGACAATACTTGACCATAGTTAGCCATTGAGGTGAGTAGATATAGTCTCTCGAGGTTTACGTGCAAGTCCAATCATGACAATGGTTGGATCTTCGAGGACTGTTAGAGACTGGTAGTGAGCGAGAATTATTCAGTATTATGCGGAATCTGTTATGGACTTTCAAATATTTGTGGGAGGTTAACGAATGCTTATGTCAATTTCATCTGTTACCAGCTACAATGTTCATTTCACCTTTTATCATCTTTTCATTCCATCTTTAGTAAATTCATAAATAAAGAGATTAGTTTATACCTATTTCATGCTCTTCAATCGGATAACCCTACATATATATAGAAAAAATACATTATAGTTGAATTAAGTGAGTAATCATCAACTTCTTTATTTCTTAAAACTGTTAGTTATGACACCTCATGGGCATTTCGATTAAAATTCTAACTTTTGAGAAAAATTACTAGAGATTACGTCATCGTGAATTATAAATGCTCATTAGTGAATTTGGTTCTCAGACTTACTAATTTTTAACTGTGGGAAAAAACTGCTTACAAATAAATGTACTCCCAAACAAGGTGATTATTCTGAATGCAAAAATTGTATCTGAGGGTATCTGTCTTTTGATTAAAAAAAATTTATGAAATCTTTAAATAAGATTTTTATTACAAAGTAAATAATTTGCTGTGTTTGTAGATTTTCTGAGACATTACTCACATATAATTTTAATGATAAAGAAAATATAAGTACTTTTCTATTATCGGGACGGGATTCAGAAATGTATGTATGCACACACATAAATATGTACATACAAATACATTTCTGAATCCTGTCCTTATAACAGGAAAGTACAACTGGATTGCAAATAATGAAAATCTTAAACATTTTCTTCAAAATCTTGTTATAATAATGCCAATTTACAGAAAATGTATTTATGAGCTGTACACAATTATTTTGAGACCTGGATGTGGTCTGTTAGTTACCAGTTTGAGATCACTGCCTTAGAGGATGGAATCAAAGAAGCTCATACCCTATTCCTTCAGCAACCAGCTTCTGAGAGAACTATTTAGATTCTGAGGCTATTCATATTTTAAGTGTCCTCATACCACAGTGACACTACGAAAAAAAATCATCCCTGCCCTATGTAGGATTAAAATCTGATGGTTGACTGATTAAAAAAATCAGTCAACCTTCAGATTTGAAACATCATACTATTCAACATAAAACCAGCATTTTATCAAAAAAGTATAAACCAAAATTTCTTATTTCTGCACCTTGAAGTAAAATAGGTAAATGTATAAAAATGTCAAATTTGAGATTTTCATCCCAGTCTCATCAAAATAATGATATGTCATCAAAAGAAAAGAAAAAAAGGCCTACATTCTTCTGTTACTGCACTCGAAACTCATTCCTAAAAGATCAATGTAATGTGTATCTAAAATATTTAAAGAAAATCATATCGGACATTGGTGTGTTTTCAATCAAGATAAAGATTTAGGTTAGTCTATCTATATTTTAAGATACCCCTTGGATTATTGCCAAGTTGTTGTTTCATTTATGGTAACCTGAGTAGCTGAATGTTATGAAAACCCTAATATGACAGGATTGGTTGAGTGATTGTGGTGAATTTGGCTGATGGGAAAATATATGTAAGGGCTTATTTGTGTTGGATGTTGATTAGGAAGTAGATTGTTTATTTTGTGTTTTACACCATACAGTGCCTGCTCGTGGTATGATTAACCTGAAGTTTATGTATACTTTACAATGATTGGGAAAGAAAACATTTATAGAACGATGTGTAAATGAAAATTTAAATGGCTTCATTCACCTCTCAGCAAATTATGCAGCGAGATTTAATGCTTTGGAAACAGGAGCTTATATCAACACTATGGAAGGTATGTGGTGTGTAATAAAAAAGGATTTTCGAGAGAAACGCCACTGACAGTCCAGCAGTACGGAGAATACTTTTCATTTTTACTTTTGTGAATTTATGTGGCGACAGCAGTATACAGATTCTAGTTTATATAATTTTAAATAGTTTTTGGATGCTGTTAAGGAATTCTGCATATTCCACATACCAAAGGAACAGAAATTTTTAAATGCAGTAAGTCAATATTTCCTTTTTGTATTGCATAGATTACATAACATGTATTTCCATTCTTATGTTATTTCCTAGTTTGATTTAAAATGCAGTTAACTGAGATTATATATTTTTTGTTTTAACTATGTTTTACTGCATTATGTTTTGGATGCCATTTTACTGGGAAGGACATTGGACGCAAAGAGGAATGGCGCCAAAAAAATCGAAAATTTTTGCAAATGGGTATTCTGAAATATATTTTTACCAAGATTTATAATAATGTAGAGTCTTGCCCAGAATTTTTTTTCCAGTCATTAAAGTCAATAAACTGTAAGCATATGCACTGAAATAAGTCCAGATACTGAAATAATTTCAAATAAACAAGTGAAAATAGGGTAGAGTAGACTTTAAAGTACCCCTTGTATTATGGAGAAGTTGTTTGATTTATCGCCAAGTTGTTGTTTCATTTATGGTAGCCTGAGTAGTTGAATGTTATGGAAACCCTAATGTGACGTAATCGGATGCATGATTCTGGGAAATTTTGAATCATGGGGTGTTTTGTAAGTGTTTTTGTGGTGTGTGTTAAAACCGTTTAGATGGATTTGAATGGGTTTGTAGGAAGAAAGGTTCAAATGGTCACTATGTGAAGCGTTCGATCAGAAAGAGTACCTGGTTTGAAAAAAGTCATTTGAGTATGATTGACATTTTGATTTTTATGTGGCTCTGGGTGTACGAAGCGAACTCGAAAGTCATGGTAAGTGAATACTTGCTTTTGGTAGTGCTTAAACGTATAACATGTTTTTCCTTTTTTATGTTATTTTATTGTTTGGTTTAAAATGTATTTTATTGAGATTATGTATTTTTTGTTTGCCTATATTGTAGAATTTAGTGCTCCTTTGACTTTTTAAGTGAAAGTATATCGGTGTGTACATGGACAAAGTAAAGGGAGTGGGCAATGCAAGTTTGTGCAATTATGGATTTTTTTTAAGTGAAAATAGGTCGACGTGTACATGGATAAAGTCAAAGGAGTGCGCAATGCCATTTTCGTGCAATTCGGGGTTTTTTTTTTAAGTGAAAATAAGTCGATGTGTATATGGATAGTTTGTGCAATTGTATTTTGGCTTTGTGTAGCGCCGATTTTTGGTGCAAAAATCGCCGCTTCGCAAGCCAAAATAACGAGTCAAAGAATTGCACAAAATCGGTATCCATGTACTGCCAAAAATCGCCAAGGGCCTAAACTATACTTTTACCGTGAAATCGCCTAAACTATACTTTTACAGTGAAAACATTATACCTGACACCTCCAGCTATCAGCATACCTTTTAAGGTGATTTACATTAAAAGTAATCTAGCCTCGCATTCTTATTCACCTTTCATGGCTTATTGACATGGCAGCATTTTCAGTCCTTAAGATTTTTTAATACAAATTTTAGTATACCTAAGCATTGTAACATTTTTAAAGCATTCTGCATACAGTAAAAAATATTTATATTCAGATTCATGTTCTAAGGATCCATGGAAAAAAATGACAGGAAAAAAAAATAAAACGGGATACAAATCTATAAAAGTTAGATACAAATCTACAAATTCACAGAAAATTACAAGTTGGTTTTAATCTAAATACAGAAAATATTTTCTCTGGTTTACACAGCAAGTTTACATCAATTTTTTCCATATAATGGGGATATATATTTAAACTTCCATATACAAATGATTCTCAAATGAATGCATGTGTTTAATGGTTTAATTTCAATAGAATAAGATGCAAATATGAACTTTCCTCTGGTAAGCTTCAGAAATATTATATTGATTAATTTTGAAGAAATGGTGTATTGACAACTTACTCCAAATTATTTAGTGACCTCTAGTTTTAAACTTTACAAAACTATCCAAAAAAAATATAAATATAAAATTTTATAGCTCAATTTAAAAAAAAAAAAAGAAAAAAAAGAAAAAAAAGAAAAAAAGAAAAAAAAAAAAAAGAAAGAAAAAAATGATAAAGTTATTTGCTGTTTATTTTGAACATAAAGATTAAAGCCATGTGATTTTAAAACTTATTGAAATATATGACACAAAAAGTTTTTCGCTTATAAAAAAATTATATATCTACTTACAAAATTATTGGTCATAACTAAAAAAAACTCCTAATTGCTCCTATACATATAATACTTAATCTTCGTAAATTCAGTACTATTTATTACTTATTTAAGGCCAGATTCTTGTATACAGAAATATTTTAACTACTCGCATCATACATTTAATGAATAAGCTAGCTTTCCCTTTTCCTGTAACAAAACACTGTAATGAAAGCAATCAACAAACTTCAGACACTAACAGAAATCTAAATATATTCATCTCTTTTTAATTTGCACCTACGAATGATTTATTTGTTAATCACCAAAAGGGTACAAAATTCAATAAGACTCTGTAATAGGAATTCAGACATTTTCCGTTTCACATGAAGTATTATTTTCTGATCAGAGTAACTTTCCTTATTACATTTATTCAAACTAGCAACTAAAATATATTATCAATGTTAATAGCTACTGCCACAGATTTCTTATTAGTCTGTAACAGTATGAAAAACACGTATACTAATTTTTAGAACTTATTTTTGATTACAAAATTCTCTACTTGTAAGTTTAAATACTAAAATTGCAAAATAATTTCAACTAGTACTTACATTCATCTTCAGAAGCGCTTTTGTCAACCAAAAGAACACTGTATAAGCAATTTGTTCCAAAATAAACTTGACAATCATCAATTAAACCCATATTTCGCGACAAAGACTGACCGTTTCCCCACACCGAAACTAAATTAAGCCCGCCGTAAACAGCAAATTACGGTTACGGTGTGCATATTTCACAAGCGCACATCAGCGTAGCCACTGAGAGAGGGGCTTCGAAAATGGACCAATGAGCTTCGATTGCTCTTGTGACGCTAAATCTTAGTTCATGTGAGCGTATATTGTTTTTGTTTTAATTTGCTTTTGTTTCGCAGTTATAAATGTATGGCGTTATACTAGAAAATCTCGTGGTGCTTTCGTTTTATGAGTTTAATTAATCGCTGACATTTCACTTTCGCGATTTTTATCACGCATTAATATTTGGATTGATGTTCACGGCGTATTATCGCTCTTTACATCAAGAAAATGACTCCAGCTACAGTTAGCCTCGAATATTATGCATTTACTAACACCTGTGGATTAAGAGAATTCAAGTGTATAGTTTTTTTAATTAAGCTGAGAAGGACTGGAACAATTATAATGAACCTAGTGTTTTCTTATTTCAGTGGTTGTATTCTTTTGATGTTTAAAGTGTAGGATTCAAAATATATATTGTGCATGATCTGATTATATCCATTGTTAACATTAAAAGTTATATGTGAATAAATTGAATATATTTATTGTGAATAAGGTAAATTTATTCTGTTTGATGAGTATTTCTTGTGTAGACAGTACATTTAAGAGTGAACAGTTATTAAATGTGAAATTTAACACACTAAATGTATACGAATGCAAATTAGTAAAGTTCACTTTGAATAAAATTCTGCGTTGGCTTTATTATAGGACATCTTTTTCATATAGACTGCAAAAAAAGGTGCTGACTTCTATTTACGTATATATATGGTGTAAATATTTTTCTCACATATTTCTTTCTTCATCTTATTTACCACTTAATTAATATTTTACATGGATATTTTTGGTTAATATCCAACATTTGTTTGTATTTATTTCAAATTCTTTCAACTGGTGAAATCTTCCCAATTGCTTATATTTGATCTAATTTTGCAATGCAAATTTTCAGAACTCCACGATGCTTTAATTATTTTGTACAGAAAATTGCGTGGCAGAATATTTTCAACCATCTTGCTTAAATCTTAAAGTACGCGAAAGGTTAGGTGACATGACAAAAATGTTACTGGATGCCCATTGGTCCATCCTAGGAGCCACTCCCTCTGTGGCTACACATATGGGCACTTGTGAAATATGCTTGCGGTGTGCATGACACTGAGCTTCAGGCTGAAAAGTTTCTGAAAGGTAGGCACGGTTCTGTACACCCAGCAAGGTCTACCTACTTGTGAAAGCGTTTAGAAGAGGTCTAAATGTTCTTCTACAGACCTAGTACAGCCACCGACAGGTAGTAGAGTCGATGTTGGTTCATAGCGGTTTTTCTTCTGAAAGAGGAAGTAAGGAGTAGTGCCTCTGACCACGGAGACGCAATTCTCAGCAAAGAAATCAGCATTTTTAAAATGAAAACAGAGTCGTAGCAAGGGTTTTCAGTGCCGCCCAGGGACAACTGAAGATTTCGCGCCACCTACTGCTTGCCAAGGATGGAAAACATTTAATTCTGAAATGTCGTAACATCAGTTTGGCGCCCCTTGTATTCTGCGCCCGGGGACAGATGACCCCCTTGCCCCCCTCTAGCTACGCCCCTGAATGAGAACCAGCATTAAAATGACTGTAAGTGAAAAATGCAATTATTTGGAGGAAACGATGTTATTGTTGCATGCATTTTACAGTAAAAGTTTTAAAAGTTAATACTATTCATTTAATAATTTTAAGATAATAATGATAACAATAATAAATAAATAAAATAAGCTAAGCTTTTTAACATAACATTTCGTTTCCTTAAAAGTTGCAATTCCATCCCAGAGCATTTATTCATAGTCTTTTCTTGTATGTGTTAAATTTTCTAGTCGCCTTGATCTATTTAACATTTCCAAGAGTATTGAGCCTCCTGAAGCAGCTGCAGACTCAAAAGGAAGGAGGATGATTCAAACCAGCCTCATTCTTCCACGGATTTGGCTGATGAATTTTTTCCTAACTGTGTGACAGAACTGAACCGAAGAGATTTTTTTTCCTTCGAGTCGACCTATAAAAGCAACAAGAAACTACGTACACATAAGTAATCATTAATTAAAAAATCAGTACTTGTTATCATCGTATCGTTACTCGGTACAATGGAGTAATAGCAACACCGCGTCGCGTATGACTCGCTCCTACTTTGCATGTATGGTAATATACGTATTATAAGATATTTGCACCGTACTGTAGTGGGAACTATTCTTGTCTTGTTATTTGTATTGAGATTTGTTTATGTCGGATAGCGGTGAATAGTTTATACCAGTAATAAACAACACTATGAACCAATTATACCACTCTGAACTATTCTCGTTTTGTTATTTATATTGATCTCTGTTTATATCGGTAAGTGGTAATTAGATTATAATATGCTATATAAAAATTATATACTTCCCTAATGCGATACTGCAGGGCTCAGGTTCAAATCTCAGAGAAGGCATGGCTGTAATTGTCCTTCATCGGATGTAACGAAAGCCTATTTATTAGGTGCTTCCCCAATAAAATGAGCACCACTTCCTTGGTAGTGGCGGGCACTTAGCCTCAAGGCGGCTAAGTGCCCGCCAATGAGGGGAGGAATTATGTACGTTCAGTCGGCTATAACAATCAGATTGCTTTTAAATAATTGGTGCTACTTTGGTAGACGGTTGCACGGATTTTGGCGAGAGATACGATTTATGGTAAACTATAAATAAAAATTTTGTTGTTTATGATATTTTATATAATTTTATGTTGTGGATGATGTAATCAATGATGTCACCTTACTTTAAAAGTAATTGGTTTTAATATCTATAAATTTAATCTAATGTTTTAACCATTATTTATGGCTGTTAAATATTAAAATACAATTTAATTTTGCAATTTTAAAATGATCTTATTATGAATGATTACTTTAATAATTTTTACTCTATGCGTGATGTAATCAGCTCCCTGATTGGTTACTGAATATTTGTGCATTACCGCGCCATTTTAAAATTTTATTATTCATCTCTTCGAATTCCTTAGATTTCAAAGCGAATGGATATGCCCGTTTCGAAGATGAATTTTGTTATTGGTAATTACCAAGAATTATTAGTGTCGGAATAAAAAAATTGTCCTTTGAGACCATATTTTGGCCAACCTAGCTTTCCTAATCAAAGATTTATTTATAAATTGCTACAAGGGTCAGAGGAAATAGATTTTAAATTTGAGGAAACCTCGCTAATTGCTTCTTCAATGAAGTGAGAGAGATGTGGATCACAGATTAAGATCGTTAGAAGAGCCGATTCTGAGGACGGCCGTATTTGGTATTGTGGTCACGGTGGGAGAAATAACCGCTGTAACGATAAAAAAAATGTATTAGGCATTGCTCCTTTCTTACCGACAAATTTTTTTCATTGATATTTAAATTATGATTCCGATTTTTTTGTAGTACTTATCAATATACGACAGGTAAAGTACTAAAAAAAGTAAGTACACATTTTTCTTTTACTTTATAACTGTATACTTCAATTTTTATTAAAAAATTAATACACTGTTTTCAAAAATTGCTGAGATATTTATTGCCACATATGTTTTAATGTTAAATGATTGTATCCTATAAAACTTATTTCAAAGTATTTGAATTTAAGTAATATTTTCATTCTTTTAAACGTTGGTATAATGTTTTTAATTCGATATTCAATTTAAGTAATATTTTAATCCACTTAAACGTTGGCGCAATGTTTTTATAGCGGTGTTTTTATTCTACTTCTTTGTTATATGAAAGTAATAATTTAAACTTACTTTAGTGTTTTATACTCATAGTAAATGTATTTATTTACATTTGCCTGCCATCTTAAAAAACGACATTTTCAACAAAAAATTAATCCATTATTTTTAACGATATTTATTTTTTTGAAGTTTTGAATACTTTACTATGCGTAAAATACGTTAAAACAGCGTTTTTCAAGATAGCTGACGATTGTAAAAACCGCGCCAACGTAAATCGCCAAAAATCCGTGCAACCGTTTACCAAAGTAGCACCAAATAATTTAACGACCACATTATGAAAATTATTTATGGACATTAAAAAAAAAAAAAAAAACTATGAAATATTTTTAAAAACCTCCAAAAATAATTGGTACGCCATATTTTCAGAATGTGCCAAACTCCGGCAATCCTGCATACGACAGCTTCAGTCAAGAAATCCCGCCGACACCAAGGTAGCCGTAACAGATAACTATTTCCTTGCCAAGCTCGAAAGTTAAGGCTACGGTACTGCCCGTGATTGCGAACATTTTAATGGACACTCATTTCTACACAGAATGCGTGCCTCTAGGCATTGTCTTATAGTAACGATGGTGGAAATAGTGGAATTCGAGACGGAGTTTGACGTCGCCTTTGCATCAGTGTCTTTTCAAATTTAGCCCTCGTCTGTGTCAGTGAATATTGCTGGCTTGAATTCAATTGGCTCCACCGTCTGCTGTTTACTAAGATTGGCGAGTGGTGTTCGGATCCCCGAGGACAAATGTTCAGAACCGACCGCGTAGCGGGAGGAGACATGGCGTTTGATCTAAGTCCCGAACACCGGTTCCTGACCTGGGGGCGGATGTTCGGAACCGGCTGGAAACCACTGTAAGTGGCGTGAACCGTGCGCGAGATCGTCGTAAGCAGTGGCGGAAGGCAAGAGACACGGCGTTTGATCGATGGGCAGGGACTGTGGGAATGGCTTCAGGCTTGCCTGTTTGCGTCTCCCACAGCTCAGCGTCAGCCTTCTCGTGGCCCCGCTGAAAACTATACGGTGCCTTGGTCCAGGCCTTGACTCGTATAGGCTAATGACGCTGAGCTAACCAATCCCAGGGTATCGACTGGTGGGAATTTTCGGAACCGACTATTTATGGGAGGAGACCCGGGGTTCTCCCAGACTACTGGCTGGATTTGTGTCCTGCCAGCTTCGATTTGTTGGGTATATAATCAGACTTCACAAGACTAGAACCATAGGTCCATCCTATGGTAGGCGC